TCTCTTGAAGTGAAACTTCAAGTTGTTTTAAGGATAGTATTAAGACTTTATTAGCAAAGAAATAAAAAATTTCTTGCAAATATCTTTTTTGTGTATGATCAAGAAATCAGCGGAAAGAGTTTTTTATTGATTAAAAGTTAATTTAAATTAGTAAAAATATATATATATATATTATTTCTTATATCTAAAAAAATAGTTTTTTTAATGATAAATGAGTTAATATATAAAAGTCACATTAATTGTAAATATCCAATATAATAAAGACATGCCATATTAATCTAACTACAGATTAAAAAAAAAAACAATCAAATTTAAAAATAGTATAGTTACATTATATATCTTGCGTAATAAAGATTGTTTTAACAAAAATCAATTGTTTTTTTTTATTTTGTTTTTTTAAAAATAAAATTTTTTATTTTTTGAAGAATCCAGATTAAGTAAAGAAAAAACTTATCAATTAAAGTTACTAAAGTACAGTAGATAGATACTTATTTGACAAAGAATTCTTTTACTTGATTTAATTATTCTATAAGACTAGAATATAGAATACTTGAATAAGACTCCATAGAAAAGCTCATCTCTATATAAAAGGTTATATGTTAAATTTATTTTTTCCTTGGAAATTTTTCTTTATAAAAAAATTTTTTTCTAAAAAAGAGTTATGGAAAAGTATACATGCTATTGATTAATAAATTCACCACGTTAGCAATCATGTGAAAGCCCATTTGCATAAGATTCACCTGTCTTGAAATTATGAATTGTCCATTGTTTAATTCGCACTTCCGCATACCTTTAGTGTATTGATATCGAAAAAAAAATTTTTTTTCTATACCTTTCTGGTTTAACTCAAATCTGACTCGGAGCTTCCGCCTTGCTTTGTTGGTTTTTCTTGTGGTCACCAACGATCCTTTTCAACTTTCGTCAGTGATAACCTTCTTTAAATATGAGTGGCATGAAAGAAACTGACATGTCTGACCTTGTTGCTTTACTTATGAGAGTGGCCAGAGCTTTCTTCCAGACGCAACACATTGTGGTCTTGGATCAGCTCACTAGACATGAATCAATAAGCGACGAAAACTTGTCAAGGGGTGTTGGGCTTACCGTCAAAGAGATCCACAGGCTTTGCGGAACGCTGAAAGAAGCACGCCTGATCAGGGAGTTTGCCAAGACTGAACCAAAGAAGGCAGAGCAGCGGGCGATTTCTAGAACCTATTATTACATAGACTGGCAACAAGTAACAAATTCATAATTGGATTCGGATTTATGTGTTAGAATTCTAATCACACATATACTTATTTAGGTCGTTAACGTTATCAAATGGAAGATCTATCGGATTCGAGAAATGGTGCACGACCGAATGAGAAATGTTTGTATCGTGATCACGATTTCTGTACAGGATACTCTCGCGTGACTGCGGTCAATCTAATCAACAGATAATTTAGGAACTGGAAAATAAAGGTTATCTATGCCCAGGTTGTAAAAAAACCTTCGCACCTCTTGAGATTCGCAATTTGATCGATATGACTCGTGGAGTCTTTTTGTGTGACCTGTGCCATACCGAATTGATTCACAACGACAATGCCGAAAATGTAAAGGGAACCGAAAAGCTTCATGGAAGGTACCTAGAGATCATAATACTTGATACGCCTGGTCTCCCATTTTTCTAATCAAATGAAAGCGAACTTTCAGGTTTATGGAACAAAGTCAGCCCATTATTGATTTGTTGAAAGCCATTGACAAATTGGTCATTCCCGTGTATGTATACATAGACACTCCACTGCGTAATCGCATCTCCTCATTACCATAAATTCATGTATTGTTGTAATAATATCAAAGTTCATCGGTTGAAAAGCTACAAGTTTCTTCTGGTACAAAGGGCGGTCAACCAGGTTCCACGCGTATGTAATTTTTATTCTTCAATTGCATTGTTTGGTTATTTTCCTTTTCGCTTATTGACGCAATTTTGGGGGACATCAGAGGAACAAGATTTACAATACTCTCAGGACACTGGAACAAGTTCGGGAGACATAGTTGTTGTCATTCAGGGTGACAACGAAGCTTCTAAAACGGAAAGACAGGCCGAAACGGAAAAGAGAAGGTCGGCACAAATATCATTCCCATCATCTGGTAGTAGTTTAGATTATGATTATTTATAATTTATTTATTATACGTACAGGCAACAAAATGCACTGCCATCATGGCATGTCCGTAGTACGGTATCCGGAGACATTATGGTTTCCAACGCTGGAAATGCGGGCACTACGCAAGAGAATGAGCAGAAGGCAGAGATAGGAATAGTGAATGAAAAGGATGATGAGCGTGAAAACTGTAAGATATAAAGATCAATAGGCATAATTATGTTGCAAGTTTTTCCGTTAACTTACTAAACACCGACCTTACCGCTTTACAATCTAGTTTACGCGAATTATTATGCCAGCTTATACCAGGATGAAGCCAATGGGTCGTCACCGGTAGCCGAGCTGGAAGACGACGAATTCGTTGAGGTGGAAATAGAACGTAATGACGAGGATGATTACAATGATGATCAAAATGATGATGATGATATGGTACAAGTTGACATCAACGATCAGAATGGCTACACTTATGCCGATTATGAGGATTTGGATGTCGACTTTCCAGAATCGGATAGGTCCAGGTAGTTGGACGGAATTTATATCTGCGCTGCGTTATTAGTTTAACCTGCATGTTGTAAGCTAATCGGATGGTTTTTTTTTTTTTTTTTTAGCAAACGGTCACGAAGAGACTCCTAATAGAAATCATTACAATTTTTCCGAGACCTTAAACTTATCTAGCATAATTGCATTTACTCATCCGCTAATTGTTTGTCCAGAATTGATTGACTGCATAAACGCACGATAAAAGTAACGCATACATGTACATATTTATGTACGCGAATTAACTTCAAGTATGTGATTTGAATGTCGCACGCCATTTTAATTTTAATTTTTTTTTTTTTTTTTTTTTTTTTGTTGATTCTGTATCAACAATCAAATAGACAGCATAATGTATTAAATCTTTTAAATGATACAAGAATGATGGTAGTACCTTTTGTATTTTACATTATTCTTCGAATATTTGAAGAAATCATACAAACTTTTGAGATTAAAACTGAAATTGAAATACATATACAGTATGTATAAGTGCAATCTTAAGCGTATTATAAAAAAAAAAAAAACAAACAAACAAACAAAAAGGAAGATATTTTTTAAATTTATAAATCCAAGATCATCTATTCAGACGAATTTTTCTTGAACTCTTCTGTATCTGATAAAAAAATCAATGAAAAATGGTGAATTCTTTATCAGGGCTTCTCACGCCGTGTAATATAGTAAACTTTGTACCAACAATACCTCTGCTGAAAGCTCTATTAACATCGCGACGTTCGGTCGGGGATCCTTCGGTGAGACTGGTTTGATTTGGCCCCTCGGATTTATCGACATCAGTTGCTGCTATAATATCTTTTGAGGATAAAAAAAAAAAAAAGAGAGAGAGATAAATGATCCTATTTTCGCAAGTAGGCGAATACCAAAAGGGAGAAGTGCATACCTTCGTCAATTAACCTGTAAGGAGCCACGCCCCCTTCGTTCTTTGATAAGTCGTTTATCAACGAATTATTATTTTGATCATTCCTTATGATCTTTATGGGTTCGTTATTTCGACGATCGGTGTCCCTGGTGAAATCAGTATTGCGTGATCCATAGTCGGTTCGAGAGTTTAATGATGAAGCGTGAGTGAAGGTATTTTGGTAACGACTATGAGCATTCAGGAAATCTTCGTCGAGGATAGGATTGTCTGCTTCGTCAGCGGGTAAATTGGTGTACAATGGAGTGTTGGAGTGACCTTCCTCATCACGTGATTGCCTGAACCTATCATACCATTCTTTGACCTTCCTTTTTGTCGCTGTTTAGTGTAAAAGCGTGGAATGAACACAATTGTTTACCCAAGGTGGATTGATGATTATGCTTACTGTCAGCTACTTGAACAAATTTCTCTTTGATGACGGGAAACTCTTCTGCAGTAAAAAATCAATTAGTCAAAATATCATGCAGAAACTTTATGCCGTCGAGTAATGCTTTGATCTTGTCAACCTGAAAAACCGGGAAAAGCGGAAGACAGTTGTTGTTGTTGTTGTGGCTGCTGATTTGCGATGTGTGGTGAAGGTCGACCGTGTTCTCCTTGGGAATCAGGAGAGTTGCATGATTACCGTCAATGGAATACAAATCGAATCAAATCAAATCAAACTTCAAACAACGGGCCATATAGAAGACATACCGCTTTCTTCGACGGCCAACTGTCTTGCCAACTCTTCGTCACGTTCGATCTGTAACCTCGACGAAGATGTCACCAAGCCATCCTACGTATTCCACACGAAACACTTTGTGTGATAATTTATCTCAAAGTGGCAACTGGAAATCACGATAACATTGTTATACTCACCTCCGTCTGAATTGGAACAAGCTCTTCGCCTTTGAAGTTTGGATCAGACATACCCAGCAAACTTGTTATACTCGCACCCATTTCACCGTTGTTTGCGTTCAAGACTGCTTCACAAACCTCAACGTCAATTCCGGGAAACATTGACGTTAAGGTTTTGAGGCTTTCGGTGTTCCGATCTGACATGCTTGTGAATTCCAAAAGCGAGTGTCTCGAATTTACGGGTGGAAATTAGTGTGTTAGCGTTTCATGACACTAGCCCAGCAATGTGCCACATTTCCAAATTCGGAATTTTACTAGAAATATGATATTTTTATCGAGTGAGCTGTCGTTCGGAAACTGCGCTGTCGATCGAAAACCGCGTAAAAACGAGCCCATAAAAAAAAAAAAAAAAAGCGTTTTTTTGATAAAGTGAAAAGCGGTAGTACATCACGCCTCCCATCAACAAAAGGAGTGTTTTCATCACAAATTAGGCAAACAAGTTTGTTCCCAGAAAACAATAAAACACAAATGGGGACAAGAGCTTTTTTGACTTGACTTCGTCCCAGGCCCCAAATTTCGGATAGTTGCATATTTCCCTTCTTTTTTTTTTTTTTTTTTTTAAAAAAAAATCCCTCTTTGGGACTGAATGGAAAAAAAGAAACTTGTTTGTTGGAGAACTCTTTTTAACAATTGGTCAGTCAATAGAAGAAAAGTTGCGTACGACAGAACCTCAACCGGATCCAGTCAAGATTCTACACCTCTTTTTCTCTTTATACTTCTATAGTGTAGATGAGAACCTTTTGTGGTAAGACGATTTTTGTTTTCACAAATCCCAAAGGCTTTTTTAGAATTGGGTTTTTTTTGTTTTTATTTTGTTTTTAATCCTCGTATAACAGGTGTTTGGAGGGGGTGTGCGGCACTCGGAAAAACCAGGACCACTGATTTTTGAATTTGAGGAATTTGTGTTGATAAGCGTTTACCTCTCTCAAACAATAATGCACCTTAGATAATCCTTGTTCTTGGGATTCTTTTTCCGCCCTTGACCGATTCTTCCCATAGAGTACGAATTGAGAATTTACATACATGCACCATCCTTGTTTCTGGTAGCAGGTCACATTCACAACATGAAGATTGCGCGTGACTCGCCTCGCACCTAACAACACCTTCCTTCCTCATCACTAATTCGCCAACCACAAGGTATCGGACTGTCCATTCTGTATAAATCGTGATTAGCCTTTGACTTGTTCATCGACTTTTAAGGAATTTCCATACGTTAATCAAACTCTGATCAAAAGTGTCTATTATTATAACTATTTATTATTAATAATGATAATATTATTATAGGGAACAACCAAAAAAAAAAAAAAAAGGTGGTGAAGAACCTTGTTTCATTACAATATCGACTTGTACAATGAAGATAAGAGGATAACATTATTATTATTATTATTATTATTAAAAAAAATGATGCTTTTTGCGTACCAAAAAAATTTTTTTTTATTTACCAACGCACCCACTGTACAGTAGGTATTAATTCATCATCATATACATAATATATTCTGGTGATTAAGCATTAAATAAATCAGAATTATTTTATTCCTGTGCGCACACAATTTGCCATCCTCGGACGCAATGATACATCAGACGCTCACGCAATATCAGATACATGCCACTCGCCCATCTATTTATATTTATTCACGTATCATGATCCAAAGACGAATAATGAAACATTGCAAAAGGAGAACCATCTCCACATCTTTGGGAAGGTGACTCCAGATAAGGGGGTTGGTCCCTTTTTTCGCCGTTTTCTTTGTTACAACTAGCCGGACACAATTTTTTTTTTTCTAATTTGATAAACAGGTAATTGGAGGCGCGCACTCAATTAGCCGGTCCATATTAAGAGATGGGCTTTGTTGTTTGTACAACAGCTCGCCATCAAAAAAAGTGACCAGAAATAATGAAAAAAGAGGGTTACGTGTCAACGGGAATACCAACAGAATACTCGTCCATCGTGCATTTAAAATTTTAAGGTTTTTTTTTTGTGCGTCGTTAATTCTGTGTCTACACTCCTGCTTAAAAAAAGGACATTTTTTTTCAAGGTTTTTTTAACAATTGGTATTCATAATTACTGATGTATAGAAATTGTGATCAATTAGAGATCGAGTTGTAATTTATTATTTTTTAGGGATACAGCATGGAGTTACCAGTTCGGTTTATAAAAAAGCGTTTAAAACCCCTTTTCAAAAGCCAGAAAAAAAAGAAAATATTAAAAAAAAAATAGTTTTTTGTTCGACGACCCAGGTTAATCCTTGAACCCACAGGAAAACGGGAAAAACAAATTTTATTTCTGAATCTTTATGTCCGGCGCATAAAGAAACCCCCCAACTAAATAAAACTGTACCATAAAAATTCCCTTGTGTGCTAATCGTCATTCCAATCAACTTGCATTATCGTTACACAACCAATACGCAACTTCAAGAGGTTGGTTTTTTTTTTTTTTTTTTTTTTTTTTTTTTTTTTTTTACCTGGATTAGCTCCCTGTTCCCCGGTTTATCTCTACTAGTCTTATTTCCCTCCCTCTCGTGTATATATAATAACCACATGAGGATTCCCTCGTACCTCATCTCTTTATCAGCATTAATCTCATAATCCAAAAAAAAAATTTCTGTATACGTACACATATAAAAAGGCATTATTTTGTGACTCCGATACCACTGTTTGTCCCAAAACCCGAAAAACTAGAAAGATAAAATTTAGAACCATCGATAAAAAAACCAACAAAGACATTTCAGGCTCTTTTAAAAACCACTGGGTTCACTCGTAATTTTAAGAAAAACAAAGTCTTCCGAATAAAACACTTGCGTCAAGAGGGCTAAACCAAAAGAGGCACCACTCACTTACCAGCAATTTCATTCTCGTCCATTTGCACCCGCAAACAACTCTCTCACCTCTGCGCCCCCGGTGCATGTCCTCCCCTTCATGCGCATACAGTGTATGCAAAAAGCCTAAGCAACCTTCACATTTATTTTATCGAGATTAAAAAGTTCAGAATCTTTTGAGTCGTCTCCGATTCCGCGCCAACACCTCAGAGGTCTTCTTCTAACTTAACCTTATTCCTCTTGGACACACAAGATCCCCCTTGAAATTCAAATGGATGATATCGTATCCTACCAGTTTGCCCCAGTGCGGCAACGGAGGGATGAGAGGCAGGAAATGTAAGTGTGGTGTTGAACGAACTCGTGTCATTTCCGAATCTTCGTATGCCAAAGGCATTCGATCCTAATTGATGAATCTCCATTCCCATTTCACACGACCAGACAATATGAGCTAATCCTGCGGCAACAGCCAAAACAATCAAGGATGTGTGGCATCGGTGAAAAAGGTGAGCGTCCACTTCCTAACATCCACCACCCCCGGGCATTAAGAATGAATCATCACGCCACCCGACATGATATACGCGTTCCAATATGTTCAGACTACTCTTTTAAATCATGGCACGCGAGGCGCTTCGTGTATATTCGATCCGTGCCCTGAAGATTAATTATATTTAAGATTCGCGGTCACGTTGGCATTATTGTGCCATTCGTGAAACCTTCCGTATATTAAGTCACCTGATATTAGCTTAGTTAATATGACGTCACCCTTATTATACGAGTCAATAATGCACCATCTCCTTACTTTTCCTGACAGCTGATAGACGTCCCATAGATCCGCCGCCTATAATTCAATTAAAGGTCTATGATGCAACCCTGCCTCAATCCGAAAAAAGGTACGGGTGGTGTTCCCTCTATTTTTTTACGACGAAAATCGTCACGTGACGAGTCAGGCTGACCGTGTCGAAAAATATTTGTTATGCTTGCGCCCCAGTTCATTCCTTCAAAATCCCTATTTCTTCATGTACGCCTCCCTGGTGGCTCCGGATACTGATGAAGAATTGCATTTGCTTCGAGATGGCAAAACTCGTTCAACCACGGGTTCCGTCGTCTCGTCCTTATATCATCTCAAAGACATTGATAATTCGGACGCCGGATTTTTCGTGTTTCCCGATTTATCCGTGCGCATGGAAGGGACTTACCGATTAAAACTTAGCCTGTTCGAGATAATTGGGTAATTGTTGCTCGTTACTGTGAGCTCGTTCTCTGCGGAATCAAATTCTCAAACTTTTCATCGATTCATCAACGTTTAGGCGTGAGGTGTACCACTGCAAGTCAATATTTTCGGATGTATTCGTCGTATATTCAGCGAAAAGATTTCCGGGAATGGAAGGTTGGTTGATTGATTGATTGATTGATTGGTTCGCGATGGATCTGCTTTGCATTTCGCTCCGTTGGAGTTGACCTCCTCCCCCCCCCCCAAAAACCGATATCCTTGACTCAAGCTGAAAATCATTAATCATTATTTAGAGTCAACATTCCTGTCTCGCTCCTTCGCCGATCAAGGTTTAAAAATCAGAATAAGGAAAGAAATTAGGATACGAAGGTTATTTGATGGTTCATCTCGTTACCACCCCGCGACTATTCTTTGTTAACACTAACATATGGTATTTTACTATTTTACTTTTTTAATCTTCGGGTTCCGACGTACAATATAAGCAGACGGCTGGCCAAAAGGAAGGAACTGGAACCAATCGACGTCTCCGATCCAAACCGAATGAAACGCGTTCGCGGCGACGGAAAGAATGATGATAACGACAGTCGTGATTCATCGGACACTGAAATGCACGATCGTAATTCGTCCCTGGACGAATTACGCTCGAAGAGAACGCCAGACTCGGACAAACGAAGAGGTCACACCAGCCGAAGTCCGTCGTCCCCTCGACCTCGGGGACCGTACGATCACATTCCACACATGAGTCACTATGATCCGAACGCTTCGATGTATGCCCCGGGATATCCCCCGCATCGACCTATTTCATGGCACGATCGTCCAGAGTACATGGGCGACCCACATTACCCTCATTATTATGACATGTACGATAGAAGGTACAGTTATCATCCATATTATTATCCACCACCGATGCCCGATGGTTCGGAACATCATCGTTACCCGTACCCACCCCCACCGGCATACGGTCGACCCCCGCTGTACCCCGGGCAACCGGCACCCGGCTATTATGACTCACCTCCAAGGATTCCACATCCCGGGGGTGACGCTCAAGGTGCCGTAAGACCGTATGGGTATGATTTGTCGAGCCCGTATCCTCCTCCACAAAGGGGCGCCCCTTGGCCTCCGCACTATGGTGATCGTACGCCGACCCGAGATCCGGGTGCAGAACCTTCCTCTTCTCCATATCGTAGTGGCGGTCCCCCGGTACCACCGCCGCGCGGTCCTCCAATGTACCCATACCACGATTACTACGCGGCGCCATACCCTCACCCGCCACCACTACCGCCGCCGAAACCGGATTACGGAACTCCCACTTCGAATGATCCTAACTCGGGGGTAATGCCCGGTCAGACGCCTGCTAAAATCCCAATACAAGACTTGCTGTCCTCATCCGAACAACAACAACAGCAACAACAACAGCAGCAGCAACAACCACCACAATCCGGCGCTGAGCGTGGCACCGTTCAGCCACCGCCACCACCACCGCCGCCGCGATTATATGGAACTCCAACGTCGGCTTTTGCTCACATGTATCCTCATCCAGGTCGACCGCACGAATATCCACTACGGCACGATTTATACGGTCCCCCCCGGTACCCACATGAACCTGGTTATCCACCTCACGAGGGATCAGGAAACCCGTATCCACCTTACGGCCAACCCACCTCCTCTAGCTTTAACCCTTCAAAGCCTGCACCGCATTCTCACGAGGACTCGACACATCCACCTTCATCGACGAACGCTTTGCCTCCCGCGTCACAGCAACCGTCGTCGGGGGCATCGGATCCCGCCAGACCTGAAAATCGTTATGTCCAATACGAACCTTCACGTCGTCCATACCCCATGGAGCAATCGCCGCCCACTGGTAATTCGGGTGCTCCTCACAATACAAATTCCACCGCTTCATCCCAACAATCATCATCATATAGTGGTACCGTGGTTCCGACAGCCACCCGCAACACACCGGTCTCATTGCCTTCCATAAACATCACCGATCGAAATGACCGCCCCTATTCCGGCAATTCTTCTGGTGCACAAAACCATCCATATCTGTCAACAAACTCCTCATCATCTTCTTCGCATCACCCGGTGCAAGCATCGCAACACCCCAAATCACCGCAAATCACATCACAAAAGCATTCACCTTATGAGCAACACTCGCAACTTCCGTACCCCCAACCCTCATCAAATTCTTCCTCGAACAGAATGTCATTCACCTCCGTTAACGAACATCCCAACGGTGGTAAGAAGAATGGCGTGAGCCCTACCATGAGTGCTTGCAATGAGCTTTCGTCAAATCCTTCGTCTTCCCCGCGATCCGGTTACGAAGGTTCCTATCCACCGAGAAGACAAGGTGGTGATGCGGAAGGTGAGAGGAGTGTTAGTCAGAATGGTGGTGGTGGTGAAAAGTATTGATATTGATCCCGGTGAGAAGTAAGTGCAAGAGATACTCGCGTACCGATGAGCGGTAATATACCATATATATATGTATATGTATATGTATGTATATATATATATATATACATATACATATATAAGTATGCGCTTATTTAGCCGGGATTGTAAAATATTCCACTTTTGCTTTGTGGGTGTCTTCATTTTCTTCATTCTCTTCGAAAGTGAACGCAAAAAATTTAATGATGCTAACTTACCTTTAGATCTCAGAAATCATTACCATCATCATCATCATCATCATCCGAATAAGAACTATTGCGCTACAATGCACACCTAGTGGCACGGGACAGAAAAATTGAAGCAAGGACACAATTTCGGTTCCGCCATTGGAAAAACAACATAGCATATCCTCAACAATCACAAAATTTTTGACTTACGAGTCGCATCAATGTTAAAAAAAAAAAAAACGCATTTACTCTTTTTGAATGATTTATTATTATAATTTCTATTTAAATTTTGGGTATTGATGTAAGAATGAACAATCATTTCGGTTAATGAAAAATTCATTTGGGCGGTTGAGATCGTGTCAAATTTTATAAAACCTCTAGATAACTTTAACTTTTTTTGCATACGTCCCCCCTATCTTGTTTATAGCCTTCCTTTGTACAAATCATCTTTTTTCTCAAACACGGACAATCATCTCTTTTTTTTTTTTTTTATTCTGTAAATCCCTAGCTCTTTAAGTTTTGTTTGCTCTTGTTTCCTAAACACATTAAAATGTAAAAAAAAAGTAAATATATATATATATATGCACACGATTAGGAAATTTCAAATTCAATTGGCTGCTCTGCTCATTATTTTCTTATACTTGATATTGTTAACGATAATGCTCTTGCCTTTCAACTATTTGTAAGTAATTATCAACAATTAGCATAATGCATCATTGTTTCGAGATTTTAAAATGTTTCATATCAATTACTTAAAAATTCAATCATTAAGGAATTATTATATTTCAATAGCATTAATGCAATTAGAGTTTCCCGGAAAGTAATGGCGGTTATACAGTATATCTTATTTTTTATTTATTATATTAAAATTAATGTTTCATTTTTTTATTGACTTAACTTATTAAAAAATATATTTTTCATTATTGCATAAAATCTAGTTTGCGTAAGAAACTTTAAAGTAAATTAATGATTTTTAATTTTGTTCAAATTTATCTCAAAATTTTATTATTATTATTATTTTTTTTTGCAATAACCCATCGAGCCAAGTCAATGACGTGTGTTTATTATGTTCGTTAACTACTTTAGTACAAAATATATACTTGAGCATTGTATGCATGTATCATCTAAGTTAAACTAGTTCTTTTATTAATCAACTTGTCTTTAAATTGAAGCCTCTAAGTTTAATTATGGGAACAGTAAAATGTTTAAGAAGTACTTTGGATAAATATCCTCCTAGTTACTTACTTCATTATCAATCAATTGTCAAAACCAATTGTTCTTTATATCATTAAACAAAATAGTAAAAATTTTTGATATAATAAAAAATTTTTATTGATTTTTTGATTATATATAAAAAAAATATTTGTCAAAAGTTTTTTGACTTTTAAATTAATAAAGCCTTATATTTTTTTTCTTGTTCATAACTCTTTTTGATCAAAAACTTGACTTTTGATAATTGAAAAAATCAAAAACACTTTTACTATCAATAATAAAAAAAGTTTCTAAAGAAGAAAAACCAATTTTAAAGTACTTGTGGATCTTTTTATCTTAAAAATGAGTTATTACAAAGGTTTTTTTTACAATAAAAAGACTTCTTTTCCTCCCTTATTGATTGTTTTTGTCTTTTTAGAACTTTCACTTTTATAATTTTTAAAAAAATTTTATCTATTTTAATTTGATTTTGAATTTTTAAAATAATATATTATTATTATTATTTTTTTTAAAGGATTAATGAAGCCAATTTATTACCGTAAAGTTACATAAGTACTATAAATACAGTTTACATAATATTATACTCTATACACTATCCAACTTATATATATTTATATATGTGAACCCTACAATTATTAAGTGATAAATTCATTTTTACAACAAGTAGCCTTGAAACCACTATCAACATCTACGTAACTTGTTGCTAGAAAAAGCCTTATTACTCACCTTCCTACATCTATATCTCTTCCCAGTTTTACACCCTTGGATAAAGGTATAGAACTCCCTTTTTATATCTTGTTCTACTTGATATTCTTTTTACAATACCTATTACAGTATGCCTATGGAGTACCTGCATGGAATTTTAAATATTATTTTATCCCACCAAAAATCCTTTTTGCATGACCTATTACAACCTGCCTATAGAAAGATTACATGGAGTCTTGGATGGATTTCAAATGGTAGAGACCTTCCTCTAACTAACATGCTTAAACTCCATTAGTACCTCCAGTTTTTACGACTAGAGATCTTTAACCTATCTGTAAGATCTCACAGAACCTATCTTGTGACAAGATGGCTTCAGTACTAAAACTCAATGAAGCATCTTGTGATCTTTGAATACTCTGTAATCAGATAAGATCTTGATCAAAAATAATTAAATCATCATAATTGAACATATTGAATCTTCTTGTATCACCTAGACTTTAGATAATACTGCCTCATAGTAATATTGAACTTGGAAACAGTACTTGATGACTTAAAAGCACTACCACTATACTATGGATCCATAGGTCATAATGTATTATGATTTTAATTAAAAAGAGATTAATTAATATAAAATATATAAATTATTGAAATATTAACAAATTGATTGGTGCTTTATTCTTATTTTATTTTTAAATTGAATTAACTTATACCTTAAGTTTCATAAAATCAATAAAATTTAAATAACAAATTCTTATATAATAAAAGTAATAATTATCTAAAGACTTTCCACTGATCCTCTAACTACATACAAAAAAGATATTCACAAGAAGTTTTTATACTTCTTTACTAATAAAGTCTTAATACTTTCCTTAAAACAACTTGAAGT